TCGAATTCAAAATGAGCCACCCCTTTCTATGACTCCGCGTAAACAAGTCATATCCATTGATTTTTGAATAATGGATGACTAGAATTTTATGTGTTTTTTATTTAAATTCTTTTTTTTTTTGTTATTAATTAGGGTTTGTTTGGTAATTTGGGTGTGCATTTAAGTTTTATTTAATTTAATACTCCTTTCATTCCATTTTATGTGTCTGGTTCGGTTAACGAGGCTTGACTGAAGTTATTTTTAATTTAATATTTCATAATATTAAGTTTAGTATTAGTATACAAAATTTATATATTTAAAAACTACACTAAAGGTACTATTAAACATAAAAAAAATAAATTTAAAAACAAGTAAAAAAAAAACTAAAGAAAATAAACAAAGAAAAAAGAATTGGTTTGACTAATGAATAGTAAATGGGACAGATGTATTATTTTAAGATAGTGTGCATGATTTTAGGAATATATATTGAAGGTAATGTAAGATTTATTCATTGATCTTTGATTTATGGATGGTTAGGATTTTGTGTTTTTTCAATTGCTAAGATTTTTGTTTTTCTTTAATGGCGTAGTACAAGAAGCACGTGGTGTGTAACTACGGTCATGACTGTGTAACAGTGCATATTTCTATGTGCAACTATGTACACTACTTTGTGCACCAATGTATACCCATATGTGCAACATTACACATTGTTTTGTGCAATACTGTACAATTTCATGTGCAATTTTTAACGCTGTTGTGTGCAACAAGGTATACTGTTGTGTGTAACAATGCACAATTCTGTGTGTAACAGTGTACAATTATGTTAACGAGCTTATTAAGGACGAGTGTAGAAACAGACACACCCACAAGCTTCCAATGAAGAATAAGGAAAAGGCTAAACAAATCAATTAAAATCCCAAAAAATTTGGAATTTGTTAGCAATTAACTTTCTTAATTTACCCCTAAATAGCACTATAAATATAATTTTGCACAAAATAATCATTGACTTCTAAATTAGTATCAAGTCAATTCTACATTATTGGAGCTAAATAATTGTCCTAGTGTCTGCGAATTTCACATTCCGACAAAGCTATGTTTAGAATTCATGTTATAACCACTTGTGAATCAAAGGTCAAGAAATCCTTCAGGGACTGTCATATAATACGTTTATCATTTCCAATCAATTATTAGATCATGAGATCATAGTTTTAAGGGGTGACAAAGAAAAATCAATTACTTTTTTTTAGTACAAAAAAAAAAAAAAAAAAAAAAAAAAAAAAAAAAAAAACAATGACTTTAATTTACTTTCAGAGCAAAACTCCTATTAAGATTTAAGATTACATTTTTTTTGAAAGAAATACAAAATATGAGAGAAATGACAAATTCCTTTTATGAGTCTAATCAAGATATTAATTACCTGAGCTAAGAAACATCTATGCTCAACTTAGTACAATTAGAAGAAGCAACATATTCAACTTAGGAAACACATGATACAACACTTAGGATTACGCATTTGGATTCCCAGTCTCAGGATCAAACTCATTTGAGTTGTGCACATGTATCATAGATAAGGATTAACATGTTTGATACACATTAAATGCGGCAAGACATTGCATATTCATTTAAACCATAGCTTATAAAAGAATATGAGAAAAGTATCGTTCATTGAAGATAAGAAATATAGGTTTGCTGTCTACTTACTCGTTTGGCATCATTCGGTCTAATCCACCGCCTTATTAACGCTCTGGATTGGGTTACACGGCCAATGCTACTATGCTTGGGGAGTAGTTTAAGTTTATTTCCAAACGTAATGGGTAGTGATCAGTTGTAAGTCTGGATCATGGAAATCATCTTTTCGAAACGTTGTAGAATAAACACTATTCTAATGCATTAGTAAGTGAACCAGTATTCCCTTGACTATTGAAGCGTGAACAAATTCATACTACTAAAGATGATCACGATTCAGTTCGAACCGGCCGAACCGTGCACTGTGCTAATCGAACTGGAACCAATAAGATTCTGGTTAAGGTTTGTGAAATTCTAGAACCGGAATCGTCGGTTCTGGTTCGAAACCAGACGATTCCGGTTCCAAAACCGAAAAAAAAAATAAAAAATTGTGGCAGTCCACTGGCATAGGCAGTATACTACCGACTGGCGCAAAGGGCCAAAGGCTAGGCTGGCCTTTGGCCTTTGCGCCAATCTCGCCTTTGAGTCTTGTCAAACTGTTGACAAGACTCACATGTGAGTCGTAAGTCTAATAGCATCCACATCAGTTGGGAAGAATGTGGGGATAATGTAAGAGTGATTAGGAAAGAGAATGTGAGAAAGGGAGGAAAAAAAAAACTAAAAAACAAAAACCAAAAAAAAAAATTAAAAAAAGAAGGATCGGCGCGCCGCGTGCATTGCGCGCGCCCATGTGGGTTGCTGCTGTGCGCAAAACGCGCACAACAGCTATTCTTCCATTTTTGGATTTCTGACATAATTTTTTACATTTGCAGATGCATTCTTTCCAAATCTATTCTCCCCCACATTAACTATAAACTTGAACTAAGTGAATTAATGTTGCACTCTCCCCACATTATTGACTGATGTGGATGCTCTAAGTTAGACTCTTAGTCTAGAGTCTAACTTAGACTCAATTACTTAGAGGGTGTTTACATTGTAATAGTGGCACTCTACTGTGAATTCATCAGACATAATTAATATTTGCCAGGTGGGAGCTAAGTATTCAGTCATTACTCAACATTTTACAACTTACAAAACTAAAACTTAAAAGAAAAAAAAAATTCACGGTTAGAACCGACGATTCTGATTTGGCCATTTGAAAAATCGGAACTGAAACTTTGGTCATCCCTACATACTATAGTTTGAATCAACAACTATTAATCACAAAGTCGTTCTTGAAGTGATCAATCATAATTGAGCTCACATGACAGAGATGGATATCGTGCAAATCGATTTTGGAAGTTATGGGCACTATGCTACAAATGTCATCTCCTGCATTAAAATATTTAACATATATTGAATAAGTAGTGAATAACCCCTCTGACGACTCCTACCATTCCAGGATTTTTGTTATTTGAAATGTGTAAATTTCATGATGAATGAACAATTGATAATTTTTAAAATTTGGACAAAAAATAGAAAAACCTCGTTTGGACATGAGTTTTTGGTCAAAAAAAAGTAAGTCTTGAGTTTGTCAAATTTGATAAGTTCTTTTTTTTTTTTTTTTTTTTTTTTTTTTTTTTGTTTCCTGAAATACAACCTTACAAATACAAAAAATGCAAGTACAACTTGCATTCTCACACGTATTCTTGTATTAGTTTTTTACACGCATTGCGCGAGTGAGATAATGTCCAATGATTATTTTTAAATAAATACTCCAAAGTATATCATTGCAAGATTATATATGAGATATTTATGTATAGGTAATTGAATGTTAATTTTGTTTATTTAAATCAGTAATTCAAAATATGTAAATGCAAAATAATATATGAGAGATGGATTATAATTGTTACTAAAATAAATGTTTGCAACTTTGTAATAACGTTAGTGAGTTTTTTGCACTTTTGGTCCCACGACTATATTGGCATTATCAGAATTGATCCACGACTTTCAAACCTTGCAATTTTAGTCCACGACTATTGTTTTTTTTTTTTTTTTTTTTTTTGGCAAAAATGGTCCTTCAGGCCACTTTTCCGTCAAAATTTCACCAAAGTAAAATTTCTTCATTTAAGAGGGCTAAATTTGACATTTCTCTTAATAAGCTTGAATGACCTACCGCTCCTTTGCGATTACCCACGAACAACAAACAGAATAAAATCCCCAATTCTCCAGTGAGGAACCGTAATCTGCGAACTAAGAGGAAACCAGCTCTGCGAGCCATCTTCAACACGCCATCCCATTGCCGATCTTCATCTTGTTTATTTTGAAGGAAAACATAATGACTACATCATATGCATCATCCTCAGATTGGGAAAGAGAGAGACTAGGGCTTTTGGCGAGGCAATTCCAAGGACACAGTGTAGATGTGGAAATGAATTGAAGGTGATGACTTCATGGACAAATGAAAACCCTAGGCGAAGGTTTTGGCTATGTCCAAACAATGGAGTAAGTTTCACAAACTGAGTGCATTCAATTAGTCTTAAATTGTTTATAATTTTTAAAAATATATTTTGAGGTTGGAATTGTAGAGTAGAGGATGCGGGTTCATACAATGGTTCGACCCTCCTATGTGTATAAGGTCAAAGAAGATCATTCCAGGACTGCTTAAGAGGTTGAATAAACAAGAGGAACAGTTGAAGTCATTGGAAATGAGGCTCAAACAACGGTAAATAAGGAAAAATCATTTTAAAAAAAACTAAAATCAAAATAATATGAATCATTCACTTCAACCAACAATTACACCAACATTTTTTTTATTCGCGTTAGGGCCTAACTTTATTGGCTCTTATTAGATTTGTAGATGTAGATATAGGACAAACGCAAATGCAAGTCACACTTGCATTTGTCAAAAATAAATAAATAAAATCACTATTGGGAGAATAAGATTTATGCAAGTACAAATTTCAGGTAAAAAAATTTGACAAACTCAAGTGTTACTTACATTTTTTACCAGAAATTAAAATTTTAAATGAATTTTTTCTTCTGTTGTCCAAATTTTAAAAGTTGTTCATTGTTATTCATTGCTCATGAAACTTACCCATTCCAAAAAATAAATAAATAACACTTTCCGAGACTCGAACCCATAACCTCTCATGTGAGAGTTCAACTTAATACCAATAACCAACAAAGTGAACTCCAATCTATTGCCTGGCACCTGCCGGAAAAAGCCATGTTAGGATATCACAAAAGCATGATTCACACAGGCATCCTGAATATGTTAACCAATAACCAAATAAAATTTTTTAAAATCATTTTTTTACGTTGTTCTTTATTATTATTATTATTATTATTATTATTATTATTATTATTATTATTATTATATGTACACCTTTTAAGTTATTTTACATGTTAATTGCTAATTTAAACAATTAATTTTACTAAACATTTTTTTTATAAATCACTGATACAATCCTCTGTCACACCTACTTATACAATTCCCTATTTGCTAATTGCTGATTGTCAAATAAGGCCAAAGTTCCAACTTTCCCAGCAAAAGAGAGTAAGAATGCGAAACAAACTCCAACAACTACGAACTGCCAACCCCAACCAAGGCAGTAACAAATTCCCTGACAACATACAAAATGAATGCAAGATTACACACAGGATGTGGATGGACAATAGTTCTGCCCTTCATTCTGATTCAGCTCTACTTGAACAGCCGTCCATTTGTTGTTGCTGCAGGCCAAGATGGAAGCATTCTCAGGGACAGGAAGTATCTGATTTGAAGCATTTGGGTAAACCAAAATCATGTCCCTCACAGCTGGTCTCTTCTGATCAAACTCTTGAATAGAACAAGTTAAATGCTCTTGCTTCAGTGGAGTGGAGGATTGGTTGTCAGGCAAAGCCTGGATAGAGGGCAAGGTGGAAGCATGACCAGAAACTGCCTCATTTGAATTGGGTTGTGAAACCTCAATCATATCCATTTCCTTGGCATAGAATTCAGATGAACTCTGAATAACAGACTCCACAGCAGGATGAGTTGTATGCTGGAGTGGTAGTGGTGAGGCTGAGGACTGGGCATGTACATGCGTGCCAGGTGCAGCTGATGTTTTCTGCCTCTTTGAAGCATTTTCTGTACCTATTAACAAAAAGGGAAACAAACTATGAGTGCTTGATTGGTGCAGTATGATTGCCAGGTGGTATAGTTCATGTTTTCGGCCTCTTTGAACCACAATATGTGCATGCACCTATGGCTATGGACAGAAAAACAGAGCTATGGATAGCTCTGTATTTCTTGTCCATCTTGTGTGTGACAGTGTCAGTGAGTCTAGGGAGTGTTTCTAACTTACCCTTCATACAAGAATTATACGCAACTTCTGCAGCACTCATCTCAGCCTGCTTCTTGCTTTTAGCTTCTAGTCCTTGGTATGTCTCACCACCAACTACCACAGTGGCCACAAAAGTTGGATCATGAGGTGGACCAGACTGGATTGTCTTGTATACTGGAAACAGGCCACCCTGTTTTTGTTCCAGTTGTTGTAGAAGGGCCTTGTATAAACCTACACCCTGACATCCATTTGAAACAGACAATATATAATTATAAAGGGAACATGAAACCAATAGATACAATAGAACCCATAGCCTGATAAAATTACTGCAAATAAATTTAGGAGACTTGACTACCTTTTGAATTTCTTGGGGTGATAATGCCTCAAGAGCAATTTTTGCAGCTGCTTGTTCAGCTTCCTTCAATGTAGAGAAAAATTCTTGGGTTTCAAAGATTTTTCCACCAAAAACCACTTTTGATCTAAAGCGACAAGCATGTGGTGGCCCTTCAATTTCACAAGAATATTCAGGTAAAGTAATATTCTGCTTCTGAGCATATTGCTGCAACTGGTTCTTGTACATATACCGTATGTCTAAGAAAGCAAAACAGGAAAAAAGCGATTAATTATATAATAACTACTGAAACAGAACCCTTTTCTAATTTGTTATTTTAATAGATGGGAAAATATTTAATATTTTACAATGGACACAAACATTTCCAGCCTCTTTAGTTGGGACCGGACATGACAAAGAAACTCTTGTCATGTCCAAACAGAAACTCTTTAATGAAATGGCTTCAATGGAAATAACATTTCCTGTTGAAGCAAATGCTTATCATTTGCAGTGTAAGCAACTTTTTAATGGATATATATTTACTTCATAGAGTGTGTAGGGCCAACTAAATGGGTAAATTACCAATAATATTCAATTATTATAGCAGTAACCAATCCTTAATAATTTCATAATTATATCCAATCTACTCCACAGAGATTGACCAAGCATAGTTTGTAGCTTTTTCTATCTTACCTTAACATCTTATCATTAGTTCTTGCACTACTTATAGCAAGCAGTGTCTATATATATGCACATGCATATGTACACATATTTCTTAATCTCTTTGGAGGGGCAGGGGCCACTGTTTTGTCACTAGATAACTCACGGATAAGTGTTTCATAGGTTAAGTAGACATTAAAATGTGTCCCACAATGTAAGGCAAACATACAATGTAATTGAAGCAAACCTTCAGTCCCAACATTCACAAAGCATATTAGCTAGCTGTTGCCTAACAAAGGTTACAGAGCTAAAATAACTTGATTCATCTATAATCCAATTAAAATGTGTCCCACAATCCAAAAAAAAAAAAAAAAAAAAAAAAAAAAAAAAACTAGAGAAATAAAATCAGCAATGAAAAGTAGAAGTAGATTCAGCACAAGTTACAGGAGAAATAAGTACCAAATTCACAAGTTACAGGAGAAATAAGTACCAAATTTACAAGTTATTAAAACTTAGTGCATACAAATCATAGGCACTGATAAAAGCAAACCTGAAGATTTGTAAACCTCTTTAGGAACCAATGGTGTTGAACCAAACCCAGATGTTTGTGAATTCGGTTCATTGTTTCGACCTGCAATTTCATTTTTAGTATGGCCTGCAAAAAGAAAATGAAAATATCACAAAATCTGCAAATACTGTATTTCCATTTTTTATTTTTTCAATTCATAAATGTCAATTCTGCCTTTATGAAGATTTTACTTCAGAAAACCCTGTAAACCAAGATGTTTTAGAAAGATTAATAACCATAATGGCACTCATGCAGATTATATAGATATGATCAAATGTTCCAGAACCAGCCCCAGCCCCCAGGTAGGAGGCAATAGGTACCTGGGATACAGAACTGGTCAATTTTTAATTTCCCAAAATTATCTACTACCCTGGAATTCAGTTTTCTGTTGAATAAATTTGTCTTTTAATATTGACTTTTCCCGCTGCATTTACTTCATTTCACTATTTTCATTTCTCCATTTTATGCTTTCCAATTAAAAAAAATACATCTACCAGTGCCCATTTTCTCTATTTTCCTTTCTCCATTTTCCATTTCGTTATAATCAATCATTAGTTTTGAACCAATGAATACCATTACAAATCTAGGATTCCATTTACATATCAGTGTTGTGCTGTATCCTTAACCCCCTTCTTCAACAAAAAACCATGGCAAATTCTCAATGGTTATCACACCTTTGTTAAACATTGCCCTATTCCATCCTCCCTCCCTCCTTCACCTGGGATGTATTTTTGAAAACAATGAAATTAATGAGAAAACAATAACCTGAAGATGAGGATGCAGTTGGTGGAAACTGGCATTGCTGGGGGACAGTTAGCTTGGAGCCAGTAAAGTGATCTAAGGCAATGCAGGCAGCAAGGTTTGTTGCTTCTTTGGAGGAACGGCAATGGTTATCTGGAGTTTTGAAGGGAATTCCATTGACAATGACTGTGGCACCAAATCGAGGGTTGTGATCAGGGCCTTCTTTCACCGCTTTGTACTCGGGCTGATTCCATGATTGCCTATGGCATAGCTCTTGCAATTTTGACTTGTACATCCCCTTCAGATTTGCAGGTTCGGTAGAGTATAATGGAGTCACCGCAGATGCTTGTGCAGTGCTCTCTTTACTTTGACCTACTTTTGTGTTTGGATTAGAAGCCTCTGCAAAATGAAATGTTGCTATTACTTTTCAATTCAAATTGTTACTTATAAACCAATTCGCCACAGAATGTTAACTTCTTCCAAGCCACTTTCAAATACTGTTTCTGCCACTCAATTTTATTACTCTATCTTTTAAATAAGCTTTCCCCATAGTAATATCTTTTCACCATTGTTTTGTGGACTCCACACTGAGTCTTCAAATACACACATGGAAGAAGGGGAAAAGTGCACAAAAATTTGTTTCTCCTAATTTATAAAGTTAATCTCATTCTTAATCAACCCAATAATATACATAGAGTTAACTATACACTATAACATTTTCAATGTGTGCATTAAATAAAATTAAAAGAAAAAATTAACCTGTCAAGCTTTTTGGTGGAAGAGATGGAGGTGTTTTCTGCAGCAGAGGAGAACGAACAGGTTGGGGGCCAGCAAGCCAAGCTGAATCTGTAAAGCAGAGCAAATTGTTTCTCCTTATAAACCAAGTTAATTGCATTCTTAATCAATTAAATTACTAATGCATATATATATATTCTCAATGTTTACATGTGAAAAAAAATGAAAAACCACCAAAAAATATCAAAATAAAAAGCATAAAGCATAAAACATCAACCCTCTAGGTGTATACATTTTTATAACCTTGTACATTTCCAGTGTAAGTGCTGATTAAAATAAAAATAAAAAAAAAAAAAAAAAAAAAAAAAAAAAAAAAAATTGTTTCTCCTAATCAGTGTTGCAAAAATCGCGCCTAGGCGCTAGGCAGTCGGCCACCTAGGCGCCCGCCTAGGCGCTCTAGGCGCCGATTAATCGCTCTAGGCACCCGCCTAGGCACTCTAGGCGCCCTAGGCGGTCCCCAGGCGCCTAGAGGGCGCCTAGCAATTTTTGCAACCTTGCTCCTAATAGAACAAGTTAACTTCATTCTTAACCCATCATAGCATGCTCATAACTTTTTAAAGTTTGGTGATGCTCAGCATGTTGAAGAGGCAGAAAAGATTGGCATGGAGTATATGGATGTGGAAGGTTTAAAGAAACTCAACAAGAACAAGAAACTTGTAAAGAAGCTTGCTAAGAAGTACCATGCCTTCTTGGCATCTGAAGCTGTTATTAAACAGATTCCAAGGCTTATGGGCCCTGGTCTTAACAAGGCAGTTGGAAATGTGGCAATGGAGGAGAAACAGGTGTTTCAGAATGTTCAGATGAGTGTCAACTTCCTTGTCTCGCTGTTGAAGAAAAACTGGCAAAATGTCAGGTGCTTGTATCTCAAAACAACCATGGGAAGGCCAGTCCCGATCTTTTGAGTTGGTGTTTTTTGTGTTTCTAGAGTTCTGTAGGGAGAACTGAGAATTGGATTTGTCATCTTCTTTTAGTGGTTTAAATCCTTTTTTTTTTTTTTTTTTTCCATTTTCTTGGATTTTCCAGCTTTTGATTATGCAAACACTGAGATTTTGTTTTGTTCTAAAAAGTTGGTATTAAGGAACCATGTTTTGGAAACCCCCCAAAAAAAAATCATTCTTAATCAACACAATAATATACATAAGAGTTAACTATACACTATAACACTATTACATTTTCAATGTGTGCATTAAATAAAATTAAAAAAATAATAAAAATTAACCTGTCAAGCTTTTTGGTGAAAGAGATGGAGGGGTTTGCTGCAGCAGGGGAGGACGAACAGGTTGGGGGCCTGCAAGCGAAGCTGAATCTGTGAAGCAGAGCAAATTGTTTCTCCTTATAAATCAAGTTAATTCATTCTTAATCATTTAAATTATTAATGCATATATATTCTCAATGTTTACATATGAAAAACCACCCAAAAAAAAATCAAAATAAAAAGCATAAAGCATAAAACATCAAACCTCTAGGTTTCCAGTGTAAGCGTTAATTAAAAAAAAAAAAATTGTTTATCCTAATTGAACAAGTTAACTTCATTCTTAACCCATCATAGCATGCTCGTAACTTTTTTAAGTTTCGATTTGTGTAATGAGAAACAAAAATAGGTTTAAAAAAATAAAATAAAATAAAATAAAAACTGACTTGGGATTTGCCCGAATTGAGGGGGCAGAAGGGCAGAATCGGCGACGAGGTGAACTGGAGATGGTTGTAAAGGCGGGGACAGAGACTGAAGAACCGGATCTGGGAGCCTAGTTGCCGTGTGAAGCGCGGGCAGATTGGCAGTAAAATACTCAAAAGCAAAGCGAGAGGCGAGGTTCTGAGCGTCCTTAGCGGAGCGGCACTGATTCGGCGGCGACTGAAAAGAAACTCCATTTACGGTGACGGTGGCGGTGAATCGTGCGTCGTGATCGGGACCGACCTTCACCGACGTGTACTCCGGCAACGTCACCGAATAGCGTTGGCACAGCTCTTGCAGCTTAGACTTGTACATTCTTTCACTCCGTCACACTCACACTCACTGCTGCTGTCGTAATTGTATTGTTTTCATTTACTCATTTCCTTTCGTCTTTGGGTTTTATAACTCCGCACATATTCAAAGCCACGCTGGATATGAGCAAGGAGTACAATAGTGTAATTATGTTTTCCATTGCTTTTTTTAGTACATATTTTTCATTACTTAAAAAAGCTTAGTAGGAATTTAAATATATAAGATTTTCAACCACTTTAACATCGTCAACGGGTTAACGGGTCATTCCCTTTATTCTATGAAGAAGAATGTCGCTTCATTTTTCAGGTCTAGAAGAAAGATGTCATAACAAATGTATCTACAATTTTTTTTTTTAAATAATATTAGCTTGCTGAAGATTGTAACAAGGTGTCGTCTTTTTCGAATCTAGGATGCGACATTTGTTGCCTATGTCCAAATCTAGAAAAGATGGAAGGAGATGACATTAGTTATCTACTTCTGATCGGGGGTAGCGTGAACAAATTTAAACTACAGTTTGAATCAACAACTATTGGTCACATGGTCGTTCTTGCAGTGATCAACCATAATTGAGCTCACATGACAGAGATGGATATCGTGCAAATCGATTTTGGAAGTTATGGGCGGTATGCTACAAATATCATCTCCTGCATTAAAATATTTAACATATATAAAATAACTCATCTGAAGACTCCTTCCATTTCAGGATTTTTTTTTTTTTATAACTAGTATTTGCGCCCGTGCGATGCACGGAATAAATTTGTTGTAATATATTAAGAATATTTCGATCGATATATAATTATTTAAATTAGAACATCAAATATTATATAGTTCAATTGAATATACGGGTTGGATCATTTATGTGTTTTTATATTATCATTGTATGAATTTAAGCAAATAATTGCTCAAATTAATAGCTAATGTGTAGATGTATGCATGTAGTGTTATAACTTTGGAGATTTTTTTTTTTATCATTGTTTAGTACTTTTTTTATAAATTATACAAATGTGTTCGTTCTCTAGCAACTCAGTTATATGAATGAATTGTTATCTTAATTCATTTGTATGGAGGATATTTTTTTTGTCTATACATATAACAATTTTGTCATTTAAAAAATATAATATCAACGATTTTATTTACACATTGTTGAAACCTCTTTGTAGACGACATTGGTAGTAGCAACACAATCTTGTCCATCATCGTCTAGAGCTAACACCTTCAATTGATCAGGATGGGTGACTCGGTGAAAATATATAATGGTATAATATTAGTCAATTAGCGATCCTTTTATATTTTAAATAAATTAGTAATATCATATTCATTTTCAGTCAATTATTCTTTTGTATTTTTAGTCAATTAGAATATTACATGGAGTGATATTTTTACCTAATTTGTGTTCCATTTTTAATTGAGGATGTATAATATTATTATTGAAATATTTCTGTTCCATTTGTAATTTACCTTTACTATTGTTTAAAATATGCACTTACTATTTATGATGTAGAATATTATTATTGAAATATTGGCGTTCAATTTTAGTTTCCCTTCCATTTTAATTAAAATGCAATGATCTAACCATTTATTTTTTTCATATTAGTCAATTATGAATAATTTTTTATTTGCAGTCAATTATTAATATTCATTTCCTTTTAAATTTTCAATCCATTAGTAATATCATATATATTTTCATCCAATTACTTCTCTTTTATTTTTAGTCAATTAATCAATTAGCGAACTAAAATATCAAATGCAATGATATTTTTACCAAATTTTCGTTTCATTTTTAATTGATGATTTAGAATATTATTATTGAAATATTTCCATTTCATTTTTAATTTTCGCTACATTTTTAATTTACCTTTACTATTGTTTAAAATATGTCTTTAGTATTGATGATGTAGAATATTATTATTGAAGTATTTCCTTTTCATTTTTAATTTACCTTTACTTGATAGTGTAGAATATTATTATTGAAATATTTCCATTCTATTGTTTAAAATTGTGTAAAATTTATGACATACTTGTGATTTGATGTATTATAATGTGTAATATTATTGTGAAAAATTAAAATGCAATGATCTGACCATTTTTTTTCTGTTTTAGTCAATTATGAATATTTTCTTATTTTCAAACAATTGTTAATATTTATTTCCTTTTTCAATTAACCTAATGTTTGTTGCCAAGCACCTTGTGCTCAGATGACATGTAGTGACCTCTCTTATGTGGGAAGTCATGAGATCGAGCCTTAGTGAAGGTGTTGGTTGAGAAAATATGTTTGAATAGATACTTATTTATTTACCTAATTTCCATTCCATTTTTAATTGATAATATAGAATATTATTGTGAAATATTTTTGTTCTTTTTTTTTCATCCTTTTTTTTTTTAATTTACCTTTACTATTTACTATTGTTTGGGCGATAAATCAAGTAAATAGAATTTTGTTTTTAATTATATTATAGATTTTTTTTCTTTTTCTATTGTTTGGGTGTGAAAGTAAGGAAGAAGGATTTTCTTTTTAATAATGGTATAGATTGAGAATTTTTTTATATTTTCCTATTTAACTGAGTATGATTAGTATTAATTAGTGACTTTCGTTTCTTTTTCTATTTTTAGTGAATTAAGGATCCTTTTATATTTTTCTATTTTAATGCTAACTTTTAATTTTACTGATTATTATTAGTATTAATTATTCAGTGAATTCCATTTCATTTTCTATTTTTCGTAAATTATGAATCTTTTTTTTTTCAATTTTTTTGTAGGATTGTTTTTACTGTTATTTTTATTATGACCCCTTTTTAAAAAAAAAAAAAAATCTTTCATTTTCATTGAATTAAGAATCCTTTTTTATTTTCAATTTTACTGATTATTATTAGTATTAATCAGTAAATTTCGTTTATTTTTCCATTTTTAGTGAAGTAATGATCTTTTTTTTTTCTTCATATTTTACTGCTAATTTTCTGACTGATTATTATTACTATTAATTAATCAGTGAATTCCATTTCCTTTTCTATTTCTCGTGAATTAAGAAACTTTTTTTATTATTCTAATTTTTGGTAGAATTTTCTTTTTTTTTTTACTGTTATCCTTATTATGACCTTTTTTTTTTCACACCCTTACGTTTCTTTTTTTATTTTTATTGAATTAAGACTCATTTTTTATTTTCCTATTTTACCAATTATTATTAGTCATAATCAGTAAATTCCGTTTATATTTTCATTTTTAGTGAATTAAGGATCTTTTTTTACTGATTATTGTTAGTTTTAATTAATTAGTGAATCCCGTTTCCTTTTCTATTTTTTTGTGAATTAAGGATCTTTTTTTTCTATTTTACTACTAACTTTTTTACTAATTATTATTAGTATTATTAATTGGTAATTTTGTTTTTATTGTTTGGGCGGGTAAGTAAGAAATGGGGGTTTTGTTTTTAAGAATAATATAGAATTTTAGTGAGTTAAGGATCCTTTTTATAGAATTCTCTTTCAATATTTAAATACATTAACATAGTAATTACACGAAAGAAGGAAAGAAAAATTATTAGAATAATAGTATTTTCACCCGTTCGATGCACAGAATGGATTTGTTGTAATATATTAAGAATATTTGGATCAATATATAATTATTTAAATTATAACATCAAATATTATATAGTGCAATTGAACATATGGTTTGGATTATTTATGTGTTTTGATGTTATCATTGCTTAAATTTGAGCAAATGATTGCTCAAATTAATAGCTAATGTGTAGATGTACGCATGCGGTGCTGTAATTTTGGAGATTTTATTTATCATTGTTTAGTATTTTTTTTTATAAATTAGTCAAATGTGCTCATTCTCAAGCAACTCAGTTATAGGAATGAATTACTATCTTAATTCATTTGTATGGAAGATATTTTTTTTTTTGTCTAGATATATAGCAAATTCGTCATTTAAAAAAAATGTCAACGATTGTATGTACACATTATTGAAACATCTTTCGACATTGGTAGTAGCAACACAATCTTGTCCATCATCGTCTATAGCTAACACCTTCAGTCCATCATGATGGGTGACTCGAGTGAAAATATATAATGGTAGAATATTAGTCAATTAGGGATTTTTTATATTTTAAGTCAGTTTGTAATATCATATTCATTTTCAGCCATTTATTCTTTTTTATTTTTAATCAATTAGTCAATTAGAATATCATATGCAATGATATTTTTACCTAATTTTCATTCGAGTTTTAATTGATTATGTATAATATTATTATTGAAATATTTCCGTTGCATTTTTAATTTTTTATTATTGTTTAAAATATGCCTTTATTATCTATGATGTAGAATATTATTGTTGAAATATTTCCGTCAAATTTTAGTTTCCATCAATTTTTAATTAAAATGCAATGACCTAACCATTTATTTTTTTCATATTAGTTAATTATAGATCATTTTTTATTTGCAGTCAACTATTAATATTTCATTTCATTTTATATTTTCAGTTAATTAGTAATATCATATTCATTTTCAGCAAATTATTCTTTTTTATTTTCAGTCAATTGGTCAATTATCCAATTAGAATATCAGATGTAGTGATATTTTACCTAATTTTCGTTCCATTTTTAATTGATGATGTAGAATATTATTATTAAAATATTTTCGTTTCATTTTTAATTTTCATTGCATTTTTAATTTAACTTTATTATTGATTAGAATATGCCTTTATTATTTAAAATGTAATAATTTGACCATTTCCTTTTCCATTTTAGTCAATTATGGATCATTTTTTTTAGTCAATTATAAATATTTATTTCCTTTTTCAATTAACCTAATTTATGTTCCTTTTTTTCATTTTTAATTTTCAGTCAATTATTAATATTCAGTTATTTTTTCAGTTTACCTAATTTCCATTCCATTTTTAACAGATGATGTAGAATATTATTGTGAAATATTTATGTTCTTTTTTTCCATTCTTTTTTTTTTTTTAAATTTACCTTTACTATTTACTATTGTTTGGGTGGGAAATCAAGTAAATAGGATTTTGTTTTTAATTATAGTATAGATTGACTCATTTACGAATTGGTTCAATAAATCATAAATATTACC